TGAGTAGGTACTCTAGTATATCAAGATGTCAGTTTTAAACTGCTCTACAGATTAAACTTGGAATAAATTTCTTCAGTTCTTATCTTGAATTACAAGGACTACTGATTTCATTATAATCATTTTAAGAACTCAGTGTGAGAGCAGTACATGTATCACATACTCCCTAGTGGCCACATCCTTTGGGAAATCACTACATTAACTTGGGTCTGTGCAAAAAGAACTTATATCAAGACCAATTAAAGACACACAGTCTTTACAGAAATCAACTTCTTCTGCTAACATATTTGAAAAGCCATGAACTCCCTAGACAGAAAGAGCAAACTCATTCTAAACTCAACAGACCAACAATTGTACCACAGGTTTCTGTTACATGAAGTAAGGAAAAAAGTTATTTGGTTTTTTGTAGTGCTATTGCATAAAATTACTTGAAATTAAAAACANTAGAAGGGGCACCAATAGGACTGCTTAAGCTTTAGTACCCACATGAAAACAGGTAGCTCCATCTGGGGAAATCTCACAAGAGGGTATTAGAAGACTAGGCACTAAAGTAAAAATATGGCTACAGTCAATTTCTCTTTTTGTACCAAAAAAAAAAAAATCTATTGGCAAGTAACCTTCCTTGCATGCTTCTCTGGTACTCAAAAAAAGGATAAGACATCTCACATTCAAAGCAAATGTAGCCTTTCATCCCTAAAGGACCAAGGACAGGTAACCACTCAAGCCCAGCTGAGAACAGTCAGCTCTTGACAGACTGCAAAACTCTACTTAGAGTTCTCAGTAATATTATGTTCTCCCATCTTTTGCCATCCAATCCTATGCAGTTATAACACACAGAAAGACACAAACTGTTCTTCCATGGGAGATAATTCAAGGAGATCCCAAAGACATCAGTCAACTGACACACCATGTCAATGTCATGATATACTTGGCCATTCCAAAGCCAGCATTAGCCATCAACAAATACTCACTGACCTGATAGTTACGCATCAAGAATTCACACATCAAGAGCTCTGGAGCTCAGTGACAAAGGCTGTGAACCCAAAAACTGCTGCTAACAGGAATAAGGAGAAAGAACATACATTTAATGATACTTGCCACATATTTCTGCAGAATTTGTTTAGAAATTGGAAGCTTTAACTGGAGGAACTATGATAAAAAAATATAGAGCATTTAGAGTTCCTGATTATTCTTGACACTAATCAGAACCAGCAGAACCTTGACTGTGACACTTGTCACAGTTATTACAAGTGCAATGCAAGGTGATCAATTCTAGGAAGGATCAATGTGACAATGCCAAACAGATGTGGTATGAAGTCTCACAAAAATCACAGATTCCTCCTGTAAGAGTCTCTCATAACTGGCAGATCAGAAGAATGGCAATATACAGAAACCAAGCAGCATTGCTCATGATTTTTGCTTGTATAATCATTTATCAGAATGCATCAATACACTAATAACTCCATTTCAGTCTTGCAGACAAGTTTAATGCTACTTAGAGGGTATGTAGAGGGAAGACAAGGTAACATAGCTCAGCAGTTGTAAAACGCGAAAAGTGTGTTATTTTATAATATGAAAAGGAATAAGAAACCCCTTCAAGCATTTAAACATTTGCTTAATGAAAGATGAATAATGGGCTAAGACTGAATTTGGGGGATCAGACCAGAAGCCAAATTCACTCCATAATGAATCCATAACATGAGACCAAATAATTAATGACAGTTGACCAATAGTATGAGCCCACCCCCTCCAAGTTCTGACTGGAATTTGTGAGTCCAGGAAAGAGTCTGGTCAACAAGCCATGCAGAACATAGAATTGAAGCTGGCACTTTTCAGTGCATTGGCACTGATGCATTAAAAAGCAGTGCCAGAAGGGACAGAACTGAAAGTCTTACCGACTTGTGCAGGTGGAAAAAATATAACAATATAATTTCTGTTTTCAGTCTGAGTAACCACACCCATGAGAGACAAAGTAGCACTCACTGAAGGTTAAGGCTTCATCTGCAACACCCATTTCAAAATCCACAAAGGAACAGGACGTCTGAAGAATTCAGCAAGAGATCTGCAACAGGGTGTTCCCATAAACTGATTTCATTGGTAAGAATGCAAATGTTCATCTGAATGACAAAGCTTTGAGAAAACTTGCCTCCAGGTTCCACACTGGCTTCGAAGGCTTTCCAAAAAAACCTGAACAAAACACCAAAGCCCAACATAGTTGGTTCTCTTGTACATATGTCTTAAAAGAACTAAAAATACACTGCCTCAGTCAATGCTAAGAAGTAAAAACATTGTTGTCATAGCCAGTGGGATATGATCACTTCCAACACCAACTCTGAAAAGCCTTCCCAAAGACAAACCCAAAGAACAGAAGAGACATTTGAAAGTGACTGAAAAAGCTTTGTTACTGAACCAAAGAGGAGCAATGAACTTCCGTATCTCCAGGGTGGTGTTCCTGTACTAATTCTAGTTCATTTCTGCCTGTCCAACTTGAGAGCTAACTGTAAAGGACGCTCAAGGTAGACTAAGAAAAAATCTCTTTAATAGGACACACACTGACAACAGCAAAAGAATATCCCTGAAAGACAGCAGCACCCTTCAGTGCTCTGTTCCTCTTCTTTGATAGTGTTAAGAATGTTCTTACCAGTACATCTATGGCACAAAATAGGAAAAAAAAGTCACATCCTTTGCTGGGTATGAAACATACACCCAGTACACACATATGGAAAAGCATTCAAACTTGCATTTTGTCTTGCAAGAAGAACAGCCGTCACTTTGCCTTCTGGAGGAATGGAACATCTTTACATTGGCTTATTTGTAACAAAAAAGCCCCACAGAAATTCACTATTATTAGAGCAAATCCTGCATTTTTAAAAATATACTTTAATAATCACAAAATTGTAACACTGGGCCCTATTTGACAAAACATGACACAAACTCTTGGTGTAGCACACACTTATCAGTCAGCATTGCTCATGAGACAAGTCGAAATTAAATAGATTAATGCAGTCACCAGAAAACCCTTTTTCTCAGCCTAAGTTACAACAGTTTAGAGATGTGAATGTATGACCAAATGGTTGCCTGACTCTAGAAAATTGTCTTCTTGTGAAGACTAAGATGAAGAAGTTGTATCAGCATTAAAAGGAAAAGGAACAAAAAAAAAACCCACCAAACCTGTTTTTTTTGGCTGGCTATAAAAGTCCTGATTCTTGTTGTAAAAGAAAGAGCTTAACTACTAATGCAGCTTTCTTACCTAAATCATTTTGAGTAGCAAAAAGGAAAGGAAATGTAACATAGAAGCATCCCACTGCATACACTAGAAGGAACACATGACAGGTATACAGTCCAGAGGCTTTGGATTGTTCAGGGCTTTGTCCAGTGCAGCTTTTACTATCACCACAACCACCGGACAACACATCCAGATCTCTTGATCACCCACACAGTTAAAGATTTTCTTGTTATGCAATCAATTTCCCATGAGTCAGCTCTGGGTACCTCCAGGAAAAGACAAGCTCCCTGTCCCATTCAGCCTTTGCAAAAGTTGGTAAAGCACTCCCCACTCTTCTGAAGACTGAACAAACCTGGTTCTCAGCCTCTACCCAGACGTCATTACATTCACCCTCTGAGCACCTGGGTGTTCCTCAGTCCAGGATGTCAGTGCCAAATTTTACAAGTCACCTGACAATAGAGATTCTCCTACTCAAGGAAGGAATTGCACAGTTAAGAGATTACCCAACACACTGTTCTGCTGCTAACAGCACTGCATTTGCAGAAGACTCCAGCAGTGTCACACTAATCTCTTATACTCAGTATTTTCAACTGCACACAATCAATCACAGAATTAATCTGAAAATAGCTTATTGGGTAAAAAACAAAAGTATTATGAAGTGAGGTTTCATACAGATAACCTACTTGTTACCATGGATCCAGGAATTCCCTTTCAGTTACTAGCTATGCTTGTTAGGAGTCCACACAATTATGCGATCATTCAACTCTCTTCAAGTCATATATTACAAAAACCACTCAAATACCACTTTTCATACAGACAAATTCTGTAAGTGCCGTAAGAATGCAATATAATACATTATTAGGAGAAATCTGAGTAACTAATGAACAGCAAAGTGCAACAAGTTAATCTGTTCTGTACAGTCAAATGTGGTGCAGCACAGTCAAAAGTCTGAATTCTCTTATGTTTTAAAATGGACCTTTGGATATTAACCTTTTCCCTGAAAAGGGAATTAGCTTAGGGATTTGCTGCAGTTTGTTTTGGTTGTTTGTTTTGTTTTTTTACTACGGTATGGAATGGGAACTGAGCTGGCCAGACCAATCCTACCCCTTGCAACCACTTCCATCTTTTCAAGAAAAAAATTCAAAACGGCCAGTAAGTTAAAACAGTTCAGTACCTCAGCATTTGCTACACCTTTGAGTTTACCAGATGTCTGAGTAGGTACTCTAGTATATTAAGATCTCAATTTTAAACTGCTCTACAGATTAAACTTGGAATAAATTTCTTCAGTTCTTATCTTGAATTACAAAGACTACTGATTTCATTATAATCATTTTAAGAACTCAGTGTGAGAGCAGTACGTGTATCACATACTCCCTAGTGGCCACATCCTTTGGGAAATCACTACATTAACTTGGGTCTGTGCAAAAAGAACTTATATCAAGACCAATTAAAGACACACAGTCTTGACAGAAATCAACTTCTGCTAACATATTTGAAAAGCCATGAACTCCCTAGACAGAAAGAGCAAACTCATTCTAAACTCAACAGACCAACAATTGTACCACAGGTTTCTGTTACATGAAGTAAGGAAAAAAGTTATTTGGTTTTTTGTAGTGCTATTGCATAAAATTACTTGAAATTAAAAACAAGACACAAGTAATTTTAAGCTATTAATGAGCATTCATCTGAGGAGCCACTTATGCTCCTTCTGTAAACAGTATCAATGTTTAAACAGTATTTTTAGTACACATCACTGTAACCAGAGGTTAGATCTTACCTCTTCCTGTATCCCACTGGTAGTAGTTAATTTACTTCCATCAGTAACTGTTATAATTATTGCTGGCTCCAGAAAAAATGGGTTTCGTCCCTAAGGGGAAAAAAAAAATTACTTAAAATGATGTAACAAACTCTGTTCAGACATTAAATAGCCACTGATATCCACTAACAAAACAACAAAGCTTGAGGTATTTATTCTCATATACCACATAGTAGAGCACAATGGGTTTCTGAGCCTTTTTACAGCCAGACCATGGAAAGCAAGACACTTAACATGCCTGTATTCAATGAACACATACACAAACAGCAAAAATTGTTAACACAGGACTTCAAGAATAATGCTTGCTAAAGTATTCTGACAAACTAGCAGAGAGTTTAGAGACACAACCATCTCCTTAAAAGGTACTTCCAATTCCCCCTATTCCAGGGCCAATTTTGTGATTTAATTGCTGTGTGTCCAAGAAATATTTGCACAGTATCTTGTGATCATGATCCCTGGGTTAAGAACTAATACTCTATGTATTAAGACTGGTATAAATATCACCCGTTCCATTCTGATCAAAAATGAACACACATGCAAAATCTACTTCAACAAATACTTGAAAAATAAACAAACATTCTATATGTATCATTTAAAACAGAAACATACACAAGGCAAGATATTCTAGGATCCCAGCAAGACAGGCAGCTAAGCTAGCTGTAGCAGAAACTTGAAATCAGTTATTGGTATTTTTTTTATCTACTGCCAATATTCTAGGAGCTTCCTGTGCCTTCTGGAAAAGAATTTTGAAGTATTCCACAGACATGTCAACTCCAAGCTTGGGTAACACATTTCACTCTACCTAGAGTTAATAACAGACTGAATAAAAGTCACTACAAGATTGTGTTTAGTAGGTCCTGTTCTTCTCTTGCTAACCTCAAGGCCTTGTTTTTCTTCCTCAGGAAACAAAGAAAAATGGAACTAAACCTTCAGCCTAGTTCTGCTTATACAGACAAGTTCTCATGAATGCTTATGATTTACTCTAAAAGTATGGAGAGAGAACCAGCAGGTTTTAAAAGATCTTTTAAATCCATTTTTAGAACCCTCTAAATATAATAGATCATCCACTGATTTTGTGCTTCAAACAGAACTACTATTTAACAACCTGAAATATAATTGGTGAAGGGTATCCAGTTTGACTACTGTGGCAGCACCACATTTATAGTGATCAATATTTTCCCAAAGCTTAGTGAAAAAAAAATTAAAGTTTCCTTTTCAAATGGCATACCATTACTACAAAAAATAAGCAAAAATCAAATTAAAACGAAGACCAATGTCTCCCATGAAATCCAAGCTACTTGATAATTTAAACAATTATTCAAAAGAATTTAAGGCTGCTCAAAACACTACATTTTAATTAAAATAATTACCTAAGAGTATTTAGCCTCATTTATTTCTTAGCTGCTATAGTATGTTTTTGTGCCAACTAATAGTCTACCACAACTGCAAAACATCAGCTGGAAGCTAATTACATTGCACTGAAATAATACAGAAAGCAGAGTTTGTAACTAGATATTTTTCTCATGAATACTGATCATAAAAATACTTGAACACTATTGCTAATAAATTATTGTAAAAAGGAATTGACAACTGATAAAAATAACAGATTTAGAATATCATAAGCAATATCAAGTTAATATTGCAGCGCAATTTCAAATACAAGTATTAAAATTTTCATCTCTGACAACACCTACCTGGCTGTCCTCATAATCTTGATAAACTTCTTTTATTCCTTCATTGTACTTGGTCTCTTTTTTTCCCATCTACAGTTTAAGCCTTAAACAGTTTTGTCTTAGAATGATTATGAAATTACATGGGAAGAAACTAGAGTTGCTACACTTGAGCTCCCTACAAAACACGTCTGAGGGTGAAATTCTTCATCCTCAGTCTACTCTTTATAATTTCACAAGCATTTTAAATATACAAAGGATAGCATTAGCATACTAAGAATCAACTTGTTTTCACAAAGAAAATTAAAATGTATCATGGAAGAATTTTGGCAAAAATGCCCATTACTGAGATCTATTATTTTTGACTAAAAATTTCCATGTCGTTAATTTTTAAAGACCACCACTGACTCTTCTGATCCTGCTCCTTACTCCTCCTATACAAAGGCATTCAAAAACAGTATAAGTCAAATACTCCTCTAAGAAAACCCCCTCTTATTTATGTAAGCTCTCAGCAGTCAGACATCATAAAATTAAATTCCAGAAGACTTACCAATTCTTTCAACTGAACTGCAGCACTTTTGTCAACAATTGGTTGAGAACTTCTATCTAATTACTCTAATTCTACAGTAATCACTTTCTATTTTTCATCCCCTAGAAATACACTTTAAAAAAAATCCAAACACCTAGCATTTACACATCTTGGAAATATTCTTCAAAAAGCATAGGTAATTAATTCAAACCAGACCAATTATTTTGGATATGCAGAGGAACAGTGAGTGACAGTGTACACTACTACCAGCTCTTTGGCAGCTTACAGGTATGCTGCAATGCACTGGGGAAAGCATCTCAGGATAACAAGGTATAAATAATAAGCCTGTTTACAACTTAAATAGCAAACCAGCATGAGGTTGTATTTATTTCAGAAGCAAATTCTTTTCAATACACTGCTTTTCCTTCTGGAAGTTTGTAGCAGTGGTGAAAAATGGAAAAGGCACCTATGGTTTTAATGGCTGACCACCCTGTAACAAGGTACAAGGAAGATTTTTTTCATTCACCTGCAATCTGCATTTTAAAGGACAGACGTGCACCAAGACAACAAAAAAAACCCACAGACCTCTTTTGGAAACCAAGTTACTTAAAACTCAGCATCAATACCAGACAAAGTTTGCTTGGCTAAAAAGCAACAAGAGATTCTCCAGCTGAAGCAGTTCCATGCTCAGATAACACACAAATACAGAGCACCACTGAGCTCCACACCACTCACAAGGGGTCACTCTAAGAGGCATCCCATGCCATCCCAGCTTGTGTGATGCTCTCAGGGGGTGCTCTCACATCGACCCAGGAGTGTATCAAATTACTAAGACACATTATTGCCTGGTTAAGACTCTCACAACTAGGAAATCACTCCCACTGGTAAGTAAGCTTAACACCAAATTTCAGCATGACTAATTGATGCACGCATGATTTTTTTCCCAAGTGTACAGGTAAAGCAGTTCAAGAGCTATTGTGACCTTTACGCATGCAAGTAGACAACATTATACATGCAGGAAGAGAAGATAAATCAACAACTACTGTTATCTCAAAGCACACATTTAAATATTAATTTCAGTGTCACAGGTGTTTCAGGACTGAAGAAATGGATGAGGTAGAAGTACCAAATCAGAGACTAAAAATTACACAAGCAGCAACTACAACAAAAATAAGTTTTAATAGTACAGAAACCTCATACCCATGAAAGGTTGGAAGCTGAAAAAAGACATGAACTGAACTTCAGTGCATATTTTTTACCTATCACTAGGAACTGGAAAAAATGCATTTTGAGATCACAACAAATATCTAAAAGATACACTTTCATTTCAGTAAATCACAAAACTCTGCAAGCTGTATTGCACATCTATTTCCTATTGTATTATCTCAGCACAGCCTCTTCATTTTCAGAAGTACCAGCCCAAACTCTCACTAAATTTAGACATCTGACCAGGAAACAAAATAGGAATATGAATTTTTGAATTCAGTCCTGTGTTTTTCATAATTTAGAAGGTCAAGAGTCTCACAAATACTCCTAAGAATCTGTGAGCAACCATTGCTCAAAAACAATAGCTTACAATGAAATCTAGAAGTCAGAATGACAAAATTTACTACCTTTAAAGCTATTTTTAACTGATGAACAGCTTAAAAAAATATCAAAACACTGAACTTGAATTTCAAACTACAAGAGATGGTCCAAATACATCATGGTTTTCACTTCTTGTTTCTTAGAAACTTCAGTTACGCTTTAGCAAAACCATGAAATGTCTAAGACATTACCATTTATTAGAGACTTTCCCCTTCATTGCTCAAGGCAGAACACTACCAGTCAAGTACACAGAGGTATTTAACAACTGTTCTGATGATCAGTTACATAAGAACTGCAGCATCTTGTGCAATTTCTTACTAGTCCCACTCACATTTTCAGCAGCTTCGGCTATTTTCTACTATCCCCACAGAATTAATCAATGTAGTTGGCAAGTCCTATAGAACCAATTGTATTTTATGCTGTCACACAATTGTTTCCCAAGTCACAAACACAGCTGAATACACTGGCATCACTACAGTATTTTAGTCAATTTATACCTGTCAATTAAATGCTACAAAAATTACTTTGCCTTTAAGGATCTTCAATCCTTATGTAAATTTCAATTATGTATGTAGACACACACCATAACCATGCATGTACATGTAATGCACTACAGTACTAGGGAATTAATACGCTTTCAATTTTGGTAGATCAGTAAATTCTTTCCTATTACTTGATAGGAAGCAAAATGTCTTTAAACGGAAGTTTCCCCAGATGAAGCTACTCTATCACCTAATTAATATTTATCACAAACACACTCTTTTCATTTTAAAATAGAAATTTTCTATTCTAACTCATAGAAATTTTCATCTATCAGAACACAAGGAAGAATATGCTGGGGGTGAGGGAGTGCAAAAAGGGCAGTCCAATTCTACTACACCATTTTGTTTGATAAATCTGACTGCTCACAGGATATGCCACAAGAGCACCATAATTCTGTAGCCAGACTGAAAAATACAGTACCTCTAAATTCCATCACAGTGTTATCTAAGTGACTGAACCTGCATGATAAAAAACTTTGAAATTGTACTTACTATGTCTGTTTTAGAAGAGAAATTGATTCCCTGAAGTGGAAGCACCTCAGTGTCAGACCAACTTCTGTGCTTTCAGCCTGAATGAATAAGAGCTGAAGAACATACAAATTCTGTACAAGCTTAAGGTCTGACAAGATGGACTTCATGCACAACAAAAGTTACTAACTTAGCTGTCTTGCCATCCATAAGGGTTTCAATATGTTTCCTTGATGCTATGGATTATTCAGT